TCGCAAATTACGTGTAGTTTTACAAAAAGCGTCTTTTACTCGGGAAATATTCACTTCAAGGGGTGGTTTTTCTTTATAGCGCATCAAATATTTTTATTTATTTGTTTGATTATACTAAAATGCTCTGCCAACAACCCTATATATGTGCTCAAAAAAATCTACCCCTATCCGTTCGCAAATTACGTGTACTTTTACAAAAAGCGTCTTTTACTCGGGAAATATTCACTTCAAGGGGTGGTTTTTCTTTATAGCGCATCAAATATTTTTATTTATTTGTTTGATCATACTAAAATGCTCTGCCAACAACGCTATACATGTGCTCAAAAAAATCTACCCTTATTGGTTCGCAAATTACGTGTACTTTTACAAAAAGCGTCTTTTACTCGGGAAATTTTCACTTCAAGGAGTGGTTTTTCTTTATAGCGCATGAAATATGTTTATTTATTTGTTTGATTATACTAAAATGCTCTGCCAACAACCATATATATTTGCTCAAAAAAATCTACCCCTATTCGATCGCAAATTACGTGTACTTTTACAAAAAGCGTCTTTTACTCGGGAAATATTCAATTCAAGGGGTGGTTTTTCTTAATAGCGCATGAAATATTTTTATTTTTTTGATTAATTATACTAAAATGGTCCGTCAACAACCATATATATGTGCTCAAAAAAATCTACCCTTATTGGTTCGCAAATTACGTGTAGTTTTACAAAAAGCGTCTTTTACTCGGGAAATATTCACTTCAAGGGGTGATTTTTCTTAATAGCGAACGAAATATTTTTATTTATTTGTTTGATTATACTAAAATGCTCTGTCAACAACCCTATATATATGTGCTCAAAAAATCTACCCCTATCCGTTCGCAAATTACGTGTACTTTTACAAAAAGCGTCTTTTACTCGGGAAATATTCACTTCAAGGGGTGGTTTTTCTTAATAGCGCATGAAATATTTTTATTTATTTGATTAATTATAATAAAATGGTCCGTCAACAAAAATCTACCCCTATTGGTTCGCAAATTACGTGTACTTTTACAAAAAGCGTCTTTTACTCGGGAAATATTCAATTCAAGGGGTGGTTTTTCTTTATAGCGCATCAAATATTTTTATTTATTTGATTAATTATACTAAATTGGTCCGTCAACAACCATATATATGTGCTCAAAAAAATCTACCCTTATTGGTTCGCAAATTACGTGTAGTTTTACAAAAAGCGTCTTTTACTCGGGAAATATTCACTTCAAGGGGTGGTTTTTCTTTATAGCGCATCAAATATTTTTATTTATTTGTTTGATTATACTAAAATGCTCTGCCAACAACCCTATATATGTGCTCAAAAAAATCTACCCCTATCCGTTCGCAAATTACGTGTACTTTTACAAAAAGCGTCTTTTACTCGGGAAATATTCACTTCAAGGGGTGGTTTTTCTTAATAGCGCATGAAATATCTTTATTTATTTGTTTGATTATACTAAAAAAAAATCTACCCCTATCCGTTCGGAAATTATATGTACCTAGTTTGCTAGAACGGCTCTTACTTGGCACGCATCTACTTCACGGGGTGGTTTTCTTAATAGCGCATGAAATATTTTTATTTACTTGAATGATTATAGTAAATAGGTCCACTAACAACGCTATATAGGTGCTCAAAAAATCTACCCCTATCCCTTCGCAACTTCGCAACAACGTGTATTCTTATAAAACGTTTCCTTTCCTTGGAAATCATTCAGTGTAATTGTAAGGGGTAGTATTTTTACAGCGCATCATATATATTTAATTTCTTGGATTGATTATGTTAAAAGGGTCCATCAACAACCCTATATATGTGCTCAAAGAAATATACCCACCCCCATCCGTTTGCGAATTACGTATATTTTTATACAAAGCTTCTGTTACTCGGCACTTCAAGGGGTGGTTTTTCTTAATAGTGCCTGACATTTTTTATGTATGGAGTCCACCAACAACCCTGTATAGGTGCTTAAAAAATCTACCCCTCTCCGTTCGCAAATTACGTGTATTTTTATAAAAAGCTTTCTTTGCTCGGCACTCATTCACTTCAGGGGTGGTTTTTCTTAATTACTCATCAAATATTTTAATGTATTTGATTGATTATAAAATTCAAAAAATTTCTTGAGTTTGTACTTATCTTTTAACTTTCTAATCGCATGCATGAATGCACGAAGGGATAGAAGATGCTTCATGTAGGTATTCATCCGCGAAAACAACTTTTCATATTTTTTATAATAGGCTTTTACTGGATGTGGGTTTTCCACCTACAAATTTTTCTTTTGCTTTTGCAACAAGTCATTGAATAGACAGTGTATTATCTTTTTCTGTTAAAGTCATTTCATTTAGAATGTATTCGAGTATAACGTCAATATGCTTTCATTTTATTTCCCTTATTTTTCAATTATTTTGCAAATATAATAAAAAATACCATAATAAACGCATTTATAATTGGTCTTTAAAGAACTTTCAAGACTTGATTAATGATTATACACTTGTGTCTTAATAAACTATTCTAAGAGAACTTCAATTGTAGGAGGAAAAGATTTCTGTAGCAAGAACTCGTCATTTGATGGACGTATGGCGTAAGACAAATTATAGACCGCTGTAAAGAATAATGCGTTTGCATAAATTCAATGTTGCGCACTTTTGATGCTAAATTTAAACACGAAAGGTAAACATTCAAAAACAAAAACACCCGGTTACAGCATAAACAAGGGAAAACACACATTTTTGTGAGAATCTTGCATATTGATTTAAGAATTATAATAAAATCAATCCTCGACCTTGTGTTATGAATTTACTTACGTTGTTATTTACAGTTTGGAATCTACCCTTATTCTGTTTACGTATTTCTACGAGCGAGGCAAGTCGACATTTCCAGAATGTCAACGTAGCTGGAGGAAAAGAAATCAATTATTAATTTTCAATTATTTCTTATGAACCTTTTTTTCTTGAAACATATTAGGTGCATGTATAAGACGAAAAGGGACAACAACACCATTATGTTTGAACTTTATATTCGTTTTTATTATACTGCAGTTGCGCACTGTAGTTATCTTTTAAGAACCATTGCTGGAGAGTAATCGAGAGAAAAGTGAAATTTTGGAACAGATGGGAAGATTTGCTATTCGAAAAAAATCTTCATAGGATTATTTTACAAACCCTTATGGAAGTGTTCTTAGAAACTTAGAGAGGAAAATTTAGTGGTTATTTAGTAGAACGTATTGAAATTTGGAAGACAAGAAGGGGAACGAAAACATTTTTTGCTTTAAGATTTTTTTTAATTTTTCAAAGAAGCAACATCAAAGTCAAACTGTTTACGAGGCATTCCTATCAGTCCCCTTAGAAATATTCATTAGAAACTTCCTTGAAAGATCTTATTTAAGACGTTTTTAAAGAACCTTTTTGAAAATATTTTTAGAATGATTTGTTCAAGTAATCGAAATTTACCATTGAAATCCTTTTAAATAATCTTAAGTTACTGTAACACAAGTTAGAATTTTTTTTCGTCTACTGTGCAACCCTGTGTGGGAACGGGAAGAGAATATTTCCACTGCAGAAGCTCACTGCATGCGGTAAAAGTCCGCTAATCAAAGGCGCCCCTCCGCTTCCTGCACCTTCTGTGTGTGCCATCCACTTTGACGTTTTTATGAAACCGCCAAAATTAAAAAAATACGGCCACGTTTTTGATACATGTAAAGGTATAACAGAAAGTTCGTCCCCTATGCTCCGTAAGAATGATCTTTAGAACCCGTAACAATGTAGTGTTTTGAGTCTTATCTGGTTACACACTCGCTTCCTATCTGAAAGCGCTTCATTTTATTGCATTTCGACTATGTGTTTACTATTTGTAAATTCGAAACCAAATCTTTCTAATCCTAAACCCACGACCTGTTACAACCCGCTTGCGTTTTGTTGCCAAAGGATTTTCTTTCACTCACAAACGCCCTGAGAAAAAACGTATATTTAAAACGGAATACTCAATAAATACAAATTTAAGGGTTATACAGTCGGAGGCCAAATCTTTGTGCTGAGAATTTGAGACCTATCAAAATTAAATATGGAAAATCACGTGCCAACTGGTTTATTACTCCATTAGTGTTTTATCTCAAAAGTAACGAAAATGTCTTTTCAAAGACTGCAATTTTATTAAATTGTCTAATATTTCAACGCGGTTACGGTAACGTCGTCAAAAGATTTATTTGTATTGAGGCTTGGTAATCTCTTTTCCCTCGTGTGACAAACAAGGGAGGCGATCGATAAGAAATTACTCGAACCGTAAAAGGTAGCATATTTTTCTTTGGATATAAGGCGGCACTATCTACTCGGTAATCCATTTATGTAGCTAAGCTCCGGGACGCGTGGGTGATGTTTCGGAAGCGTTTGAAAGGGAATGACGTATGAAACTGATGGACGATTTCGCGCAAATTTGATGCTTTTCATGTCCAAATTGACTCTGGGATGTGCTTTCTGACCGTCGGCCATTTTTATGGGAATTTTTCAAAAGAAAAAAAATTTGCTTTTGTCCGTCTGTCCGTCTGTTCCTCGTCTAACTCGAGAACGAAAAGAGATAGCGATGTCAAACCTTCGCCGATCGATTTCCACGAGTACAAGGATCAGTGCTATTGAATATGAGCCGGATCAAAAGTCTGGTTTCCGAATATTGAAAATTGTATGCGATCTTTCGTATCTTGTTATAAGGTGGTTCACATTTTAGGCGAATAATTTTGAATTTTTTGATTTTAGGTCATCTTGCACCCCAATGCCAATTGTCATTGTAACTAACTTGCGAGTGAACTAATATCTAAGGTCAAACTGTATTTTAGTTCGAATTTCATTGTGAATAAGAGAGAAAACGGTAAAAGCGGAAAGTCCCACGCGACTTTGTTATTGCTTACCTTCTCCCGCACCGGAAATTGGCACAATAGCGTTATTCCCATTACTGTTACCGTAACGTCTTTATTTTCACTCGCTTCCGGAATTTGCGGATGCCTTCCCCCAAACTTGCCGAAGTACGGGAAGCGAACGTTAAAAACCAATCCAAAAATTGATTGTGGAAGAGCTTTCGGCTTTAAAGCACCCCTCCATTTATTTTGAAACGAAATTAATTTACGTTTTAATTTCAGTGAAACGCGCCCGTAGTGATACGGAAGAAAATCCACATCTGCCGGCCATCTATTATAAAAATCCGTCGGCCATCAAACGAGGTAAGTCACAGAATCGAAATTACTCAGTCGTCTCTTTTCCGGCGTCTCGGGCGTCGGAAGAAATGTTACCATAACAACGGCCGATTAGTGACGACTGAAATGAAATACTTGGGGTAATTTACTATTCAATTTTCCGACATTTACGAGATGTATTTTCGACGAGTTATAGCGAGAATTCAATTTAATCTCTCATTTATACAAGGGCTTCGGTATCAAATGAAATCGGGGGTTGTTTTTTTTTAATGAGCTTAACAGGGATTTGCTATGAGCTAATCGAGCATTAAATTGCGTGATATTTTCTGTTTCACTTCGCGATCTATGTACTTAACCGCATTAAAATCACTTTAGATTGAAAGCGACTTTCGACCATCAAAGGTCATAAAAAAGTCATTGAAAATGAAATCGTATTACACCACTTGAGGGCAGCTCGCTTCATCATATTTTCTTCTTAAATTAAAATGACTTTCCTTAATTCAATGATGATCACTCTTAAGGTTCAATTTTTATAGTTTGGATTTTCGCCCATAAACTTTATACACTTTGTTGTTCTATGCCCTCCTTCTCATTTCCACATAGTCTACATTTTCTTTCTTCTTCTTGTATCCATTTCTGTTTTCTCATTTCCGCATCTGAATCTCGTTTTAATATTTATTCTTCCTTCCCACAAATATTTTGGTAACCACTCCCGTATTAGATCATTATAAGTGCTACTTCTTCTTCATCATTTGTTGTTGTATTTGTGCATCCAGATCCCATTTTCCATCTTTTCTCCTACTTCTCTCCTCTATTCGACCTCTCCATTTTTCTCATCTGTTCTACCTCTGCTGCCATGCTCACTGCGTTGTCCCCACATGCCATGGACCATATATTTCTTCTTCCCACTACTACTCCCTTATTTGAATCCCAATTGTGTGTCCCCCAACCATCCTCATCTCTTCCCTTTCTCTTTCTAGTCTTTCATTATCATTGCATAGATTCTATACGCCGTAGTCATTATAGTAATTCCCCCGCAATTTGTTCCCTCTTTTGAAGATCGGCACGATTACCCCTTCGCTCCATTCTTGGGGCAAACCACCTTCTTTTCATACCTTGTTTATTACATTTCTCATTCTTTCCTTGGTGAAAATCCAAACCTCATTACCTATCCCGTGTCTCCCCGCCGCTTTCCCCTTCTTCAGTATTTTTAATTGCTCCTCTCTTGTTATCTCATCTCCTTCAACCTCCTCTCTTCCTACCACTTCCATAGAATTCTCTTTCGCCTGTTTTCCTTGTTGTAACTTGACAAAATGTTGTTTTCATTCCTCTAATTGTTATTTTCTTCGTTTATCACCTTCCAAAAAATCCCTTTTCTTTTTATTTCCCTGATTTACAATTCTTATTCTTTCTGTTTCTCCATCTTTTTTCATTGTACTTTTTTCCCTCACCTCTTTGTCCTCTATTTCCCCCCTTCTTTTTCTCTCCATCAATTCTCTATCTTGTGTACACTCTACCACTGGTCATTACTTGTTTCTCCTCTCCAGTTATTTGTTTCCACGCTATTGCTTTTTTAATACTTTTCATTATACTATTCAACTCCTCTGTATTCCCTCCTATTTCTTTACTTCTGTACAGCTCCACCGTGTAACGGGATTTCCCTATACAGGAATTTTTTAAATTGATAAAAATGCGCAATCTATGTTTAGGTGTGCATGTAACCTTGAACCTACGAATGCCTGCATTTTAGCATTGGAAGGAATTGTTATATTTGTATCATTTACTCTCACCCAAATTGGGATATTATTTAACCGTGAGGAGACTAAAACGGAATTAGCAATATAACGTAATAATCGCGGTTCGAATTGCAATTTCATTTCGCATGTAAATAGAATAGGATCATAAATACTGCTTTACGAATGTATATTCAGAATGAGGTAAAGTAAAATGAGTCACTGTAATAAAATAACCGCAAGGAGAGCATTTTGAGAATGAGGTACTAGACAACAAAAGACAGCGTGTTTTGTGAGCGGTCCGTGCACTTCCATTTCCACATCGAATCGACGAAAAGCAACGCCTAGTTTTTAGCCGGTCCGTTGTGCGGCCAACCACATCCAAATTGTGGGGGCGGATACAGACTATTTCATATCGAGGTATCCACGAAAAGACATCTAGAATTTCTAGTGAATATAAACAATAGCTCATCCCGTATATTAGAATAGTCTCATCGTACTACCTACTTGCGAGTTGCATTCAGATATTTAGGTAACGCAGTACGCTTTATTTTCATTGTACAGGGTGACCCAATAAGACGGCCATATGTCGGGAACCGTTCGTCGTATGACTTAGGGGTAAAAAAAATTGTTAAAATCGGTCAAACGGTTAAGAAGTTAAACCAGGTTATTGAAAAAACAATTGAACGCCCCACACCATCTTTGTTTTTGAAATAACTGATAGATAAAACTGGTTCTCTTTAAAAATGTGAAAAAAAATCTTTTAGTTTACTATGCGAAATTAAAAAAAAATGCAATTTTAAAATTTAAGATGCCAGTTACGCCCGCTGTTGGTCATTTTTAGAACTTGAAAATATTTTCCATCGATTCTTCATGACCGTATTACCCAATAATTTTTTTACCCCAAAGTCAGTTCCCGAGATATGACCGAGGAACAGACTTATTAGGTCACCCGGTATATACATAGTGATTGAGAATAATCTAAGTAATTTTCTTTTAGCACCTGAAGGTGATTCATGCGACATTGCTTTAGTTTCATATACGATTATAAATTTCCTACCAATGCGAAGTATGATTTTTGCGAATGAATGTGGTTTACAGGATCGTTCCGCCTCAACCCAGAACCATAAAGATTATTGAGTTATTGTTTATTCTTTACCCCTTATCGTAGAGGCCAGAAGAGGATTATTAACCGACGAGCAGCCGAGGCATATTAATATTTACACAAGAACCGCTCCCAATTTTATCAACCCGAAGACGTGGGAGACAAGGAAAATTTGTAACATCCGTTACATCGTTAACCTGATAATTCTCCCTCTTTGTTGGACTCTGTATATCTTGATGGAATTTTTCCCGTCTCTACCCATTTTCCCTGGCATTAAAATCTCTCCCTTCCTCCAATATCAGTCCCTCCTTCTCCCTTTCATTTACAATATTTTCTATTTTATTTTTTAGGTCCGTCATTTCTTCTCTGTTGTATCACTCTCATGTTCTTTTCCTCGACAATTGTTCCAAAGGTTTCGGAATGTTCATTTTTATCGGAAAAATCGACCTTCGCCATTTATCGCCGATGACTAAATCTTTCAGGGCGCCTCGATGTCTATCGGGATTACTGGAAATAAATAATATAAATAATTAGGTTTCCTGACTTGGAACAATCAATTGTTTAGGTTTACAGGTATTAATTTCTGGGAGGAATTGTGTCAGATTATACTTAAGCGAAGAGAGATTGTCTGCGTAATCCAAAATAAAAGCTTTCACACAGTATGTTTACTTACATTTATATTTTAATTAAAATTTAACAATATCAACGCTTCAAATTTCAAACGTTAAACGATAAACATCGACTGTGTAAGCCCTCGTCAATTTACAAACTTAATTGAGAGGCGATTAAGGTAAAACGTACGAGATTATCCGTGTGCATGTATTGTTTCTTTTCAGGGACCAGCCAGCCGTTCGACAACTGGGAAGACCTGAATAAGGAGACGTTCATCAATCTGGCGCCGTCGTTGTACTCGAACGACGGCAAGATCGACGACAAATCCATAGTGGATTACGAGAAGGCTTATCAGTACGGTACGAATAAGGAGAAGCTGGACGAGGCCTTGGAGAACGCCGTTCTGAAATCGGAACTGTACGGCAGTCCCGGATCGGCGAATCAGTACAGATACTTCGAGGGGGGCAACGATGAAAAACGCAAAAAACGAGCCGCTTTTAAGAGGTAAGTGTTGAGGCTTAATGGCGCTTTTGAAAGTGCGGTTACGCGCAATTGAATCTCGCTCGATTTGGCACGAAAAAGGAAAGCGATTACCTAAAGTGCTACAACTTTTAATGAACCAATTATTTTGTCAGAGCATTGTGTTATATAAAGTTTCTTCTGAAGTGATGGGAATTTGAGGTGAAAAATTCCTCCTTAATTTTGCTTAATCTGCGCTCCAATAACTTTTAGTTAGCAACCCTAAGAAATCCATGTTTGATTGGGGTGCATTAATATAAACAATTTTCCATCTCATCATTTCTCCCTTGAACATTGCTTCTCTGAGGAGGTTCCCCATGTTGGAGTGTTCCCTTTTTGTTCGTAGGTGAAATTTGGGTTTAGGGTGAATTTACATGCATCCGTTATCTGCCGATACGTTAAATTTAAAGGTGAAGATAAAGAAAACTGTCGGAAATTTTAGAAATATGTAAAAACAATTTTGGAAATGTTTCAGAATTCGAGAAATTTTTCGTAAATGGAAATCAGTTGGAAAATTTTGACATGGTTTTCAAAACGCGAAGGCATTTTGGAAATTAAAAATTGTAACCAGAACCATTTAAAGTAGACTAAAATTGCTACAATTTGGGACCAGAACCAATACGGAAATTTTAAGGTTTTAACCCCAAGATCGAGAAAAATACCCATTTAACGGAAAAAGTCAACTTTATTTTTAACGGTTGCAGAACAGAACCGAACAGAAGTGTAATAGAAACATCCTTCGAGCGAATTTGGTCTTTTTACTAATAAAATTTGTGCATAACTAACGGGCAATGACAGAAAAACGTGTCTCGGTCAAGGCTTTACACGACGCAAATATCTTTTGCGAATTCTGATGTACGATTTATGGACATGCCGTGAATGAGTGTAATTAGTTTTTTAATTACACCAAAAAAACCAAAAGCTCGCCCTTTAATTATCTGCTTAATATGGTTACCTCACTTTTACTTTGCTACATAAACAAAATTACATCACGTTTTAGGACAACTGTAAAAAAGTGGCACTGTTTTCAGCATGAAGGGTTATTGGTTTTGTGAACTCGAATAATGTTTTAAACTGCCCTTTGTGGCAGAAGGGCACGCGTGTACAAAACATGTAAATGTGCATGATCTAAAAGTGAAATGAATTTTCCTCTTCTAAACGACAAATAGAAAAGATAAGTATAAATTGTACACACAATTTTTTTATTCACTTGATTGATTATAATAAAATGGTCCGCCAAGAACCCTATATATGTGCTCAAAAAAATCTACCCCTATCCGTTCGCAAATTACGTATACTTTTACAAAAAGCGTCTTTTACTCGGGAAACATGCAGTTAAAAGGGTGGTTTTTCGGAATAGCGCATGAAATATTTTTATTTATTTATTTATTAGTATGATTAAACTACAATGATCTGCCAACAACCCTATGTAGGTGCTCAAAAAAATCTACCCCTATCCGTTCGCAAATTACGTGTATTTTTATAAAAAACGTCTTTTACTCGGCACTCATCCACTTCAAGGGGTGGTTTTTCTTAATAGCGCATCAAATATTTTTATGTATTTGATTGATTATACTAAAATGGTCAGCCAACAACCCTATGTAGGTGCTCAAGAAAATCTACCCCTATCCGTTCGCAAATTACGTGTATTTTTATAAAAAACGTCTTTTATTCGCCATTCATCCACTTCAAGGGGTGGTTTTTCTTAATAGCGCATCAAATATTTTTATGTATTTCATTGATTATACTAAAATGGTCAGCCAACAACCCTCTGTAGGTGCTCAAGAAAATCTACCCCTATACGTTCGCAAATTACGTGTATTTTTACAAAAAGCGTCTTTTACTCGCCACTCATCCACTTCAAGGGGTGGTTTTTCTTAATAGTGCATCAAATATTTTTATGTATTTGATTGATTATACTAAAATGGTCCGCCAACAACCCTATGTAGGTGCTCAAGAAAATCTACCCCTATCCGTTCGCAAATTACATGTATTTTCACAAAAAGGGTCTTTTAATCGGGAAACATCCACTTCAAGGGGTGTTTTTTCTTAATAGTGCATCAAATGTTTATATTTATTTGTTTAATTATACTGAAATGGTGAGCCAACAACCCTATGTAGATGCTCAAGAAAATCTACCCCTATCCGTTCGCAAATTACGTGTACTTTTACAAAAAGCGTCTTTTACTCGGGGAACATCCACTTCAAGGGGTGGTTTTTCTTAATAGCGCATCAAATATTTTTATGTATTTGATTAATTATACTAAAATGGTCAGCCAACAACCCTATGTAGGTGCTCAAGAAAATCTACCCCTATCCGTTCGCAAATTACATGTATTTTCACAAAAAGGGTCTTTTAATCGGGAAACATCCACTTCAAGGGGTGTTTTTTCTTAATAGTGCATCAAATGTTTATATTTATTTGTTTAATTATACTGAAATGGTGAGCCAACAACCCTATGTAGATGCTCAAGAAAATCTACCCCTATCCGTTCGCAAATTACGTGTACTTTTACAAAAAGCGTCTTTTACTCGGGGAACATCCACTTCAAGGGGTGGTTTTTCTTAATAGCGCATCAAATATTTTTATGTATTTGATTAATTATACTAAAATGGTCAGCCAACAACCCTATGTAGGTGCTCAAGAAAATCTACCCCTATCCGTTCGCAAATTACATGTATTTTCACAAAAAGGGTCTTTTAATCGGGAAACATCCACTTCAAGGGGTGTTTTTTCTTAATAGTGCATCAAATGTTTATATTTATTTGTTTAATTATACTGAAATGGTGAGCCAACAACCCTATGTAGATGCTCAAGAAAATCTACCCCTATCCGTTCGCAAATTACGTGTACTTTTACAAAAAGCGTCTTTTACTCGGGGAACATCCACTTCAAGGGGTGGTTTTTCTTAATAGCGCATCAAATATTTTTATGTATTTGATTAATTATACTAAAATGGTCAGCCAACAACCCTATGTAGGTGCTCAAGAAAATCTACCCCTATCCGTTCGCAAATTACGTGTACTTTTACAAAAAGCGTCTTTTGCTCGGGAGACATCCACCTCTAGGGGTGGTTTTTCTTAATAGCGCGTCAAATATTTGTATGTATTTGATTGATTACACTAAAATGGTCCGCCAACAACCCTGTGTAGGTGCTCAAGAAAATATACCCCTATCCGTTCGCAAATTACGTGTATTTTTATAAAAAAACGTCTTTTACTCGGCACTCATTCACTTCAAGGGGTGGTTTTTCTTAATAAGGCATCAAATATTTTCATTTATTTGGTTGATTATACTAAAATGGTCAGCCAACATCCCTATGTAGGTGCACAAGAAAATCTACCCCTATCCGTTCGCAAATTACGTGTATTTTTATAAAAAACGTCTTACTCGGCACTCATCCACTTCAAGGGGTGGTTTTTATTATTAGCGCGTCAAATATTTGTATGTATTTGATTGATTATACTAAAATGCTCTGCCAACAACCCTATATCGATGCTCAAAAAATTTTACCCCAAGCCGTTCGCAAATTACGTTTACTTTAACATAAATCGTCTTTTACTCGGGAAACATCCACTTCAAGGGGTGGTTTTTCTTAATAGCTCATCAAATATTTATATTTATTTGTTTGATTATAATAAAATGGTCATCCAACAACCCTCCGTAGGTGCTCAAAAAAATCTAGCCCTATCCGTTCGCAAATTACGTGTATTTTTATAAAAAAACGTCTTTTACTCGGCACTCATCCACTGTCAGGGGTGGCTTTTCTGAATAGCGCATGAAATATTTTTATTTATATGATTGATTATACTAAAATGATCAGCTAACAACCCTGTCTAGGTGCTCAAGAAAATCTACCCCTATCCGTTCGCAAATTACATGTATTTTCACAAAAAGGGTCTTTTAATCGGGAAACATCCACTTCAAGGGGTGGTTTTTCTTAATAGCGCATCAAATATTTTTATGTATTTGATTGATTATACTAAAATGGTCCGCCAACAACCCTATGTAGGTGCTCAAGAAAATCTACCCCTATCCGTTCGCAAATTACATGTATTTTCACAAAAAGGGTCTTTTAATCGGGAAACATCCACTTCAAGGGGTGGTTTTTCTTAATAGCGCATCAAATATTTTTATGTATTTGATTGATTATACTAAAATGGTCCGCCAACAACCCTATGTAGGTGCTTAAGAAAATCTACCCCTATCCGTTCGCAAATTACGTGTATTTTTACATAAAGCGTCTTTTACTCGGCACTCATCCACTTCAAGGGGTGGATTTTCTTAATAGCGCATCAAATATTTTTATGTATTTGATTGATTATACTAAAATGGTCAGCCAACAACCCTATGTAGGTGCTCAAGAAAATCTACCCCTATCCGTTCGCAAATTACATGTATTTTCACAAAAAGGGTCTTTTA